CAGGCATGGTGCCAGGGTTCAAATTTTAAGGAGGCAACTACTCTCAGGTTCATGCAAGTGCAGAGTTGTCCCTTAAACAAACCTGGGAGTGAGTGCTTCCTTACATTCTTTTACCCTAGGCAGCAGGCTTACCTCACCCTAATCCCAGCCCTGGGATAGAGAATGCAAAAAGAGACCAAAAAGCACAGAATAAGGACCAGGATGGCAGGGACAAAACTCTTTTTCACAGTGGTGCCAAGAATCAGCCTTGGAAATCAGCTACACTATCCGTATTACTTTCTCCCTCCATTGCATTTTGTAATAGTACAGAGAAAATGGTTATACTACCAAGCTAACCTCTAACTCTTCTAGAGTGACCCAAAGCCTATAAGATTAAATGATCAGAAATATCTTCCAGTTTGAATGATGCCTGAAGAAGAAGTTCATCTTTCCTGTTTAACTCAGCCATAGCTTCCATGATAGGATCATCTCCAACCCCAGCTCCCACCCCATGCCCTATACTTGCCAGGCTAGTGCTAGTTTGGGTGCTCATGATGGTAAATAATGCAGGAAAATGGCATGGATGTTCTAGAAGAAACTTTAGAAGGGAGGAGTTTTCAATGTCTCCCAAATAGCTTTTCAAAGTGAAATGAAATGGATTTATTAAAATTTTTTTTCAACACCACCCTTGCTATGATTGAAATCTCAACTTCTTTAAATAACATCCAGTTTCTAAAACACTAATTAAAAGTGTCTCTAAGACTTAAGGAAAAAACAAATGAGATAAATAAATGGCATTTTAGCTCTATTGCAAAAAAAAAAAAAGGCCCCAGCCAGTCCTAATGCCTTCTAAAATACCATTTTATGATGCCCTTAAAACAGATGTAATCTGATAGGATCTTAAAGGATCTCAGATATGGGTCATCTTATAAAACCCATAGAGAGGTCAGGAGACGAAGCTCTGGCTGGTCTTAAATATTAAACTCTCAAATGAGCCCACAGCTCTCAGGAATTCTAATTTAGTGGAAATGCTGCTAAGATGTTTCATTTAACCTGTGACATTCAGATTCATCTAGAATCAGGCCACACTGCTAGAGGATGCCCACCTGCACCATTATTAATTAAAGAAGACAAAAGTTATAATACTGCCTAAAATTTCTATAAAGCTTTACAGTTTACAAAGCATAGTTGTATGTATTATCTTTTTTCCCTTTAGCCTGTCCCACTGGGAATCCAAGCATACACCATGAGAGTTGTGGATAGGCAATGTGTTCATAGCGCCCCTGTCTCACTCCTCAAGATGGCTTAGAAAAATTTCTACATGTTTTGTTTCCATGATTTCTATTCCTGTGGCTGTGTCTCCTTGTCCATACAGAATCAGGCAATTGAGGGGGACAGTGGGGGAAAATCAGAGATGAATCAAACTGTGGTGACCTCATCAGAGTGCTGTAATAAGATGGTGTTGATTTAAACAATTCTACCAATTAGGCTTTATAATCTATGATGACAAAATTCCACTCATTTATGTGAATTCTATGTAAATATCCCCAGTATCCTCCTACTTCATCTCAGTGGGGTATTCTTGTGCAATTATGATAGATCTGGTCCAGAAAGGCTTTAGGGCCCAAAAGCCCAAGGCTGATAACTGAAGATTATATTGTTGGGAGTTATAACTCTCTATTACTCAGTGGATATTTCTATATGTTCTCTAAAGTTTTAAGGCAAGGACACTAAGTCCCAGACTTACGAACATTCAAGTTACAAACTTTCCCAGATACAAATAGACATTGCATTACAAACATTCGTAGATGCAAACAAATTGCAGAAGTAGCTCACATGTCTGCCGGACATTGTCACAGTTGTGCTACTGCATGCTTACTGTACAGTGCGATAGTGTACAGTAGTGCAGTGCTCAATCAGAGCCCAGGATGTCCGGAAGCAAGAGGAAAAGTAGTGGTAATGTAGAGGGGACTGCTAGGAATTGCAAAGCAATAACCATGAAAACAAAAGTGAAAATAATTGAGAGATTGGACCAAGGTGAAAAGATGGTAGATTTCGCTCATCTTATAACATGAATCAGTCAATCATTGGCTTTACATTGTGTCAAAGGAGTGTAAGAATCACTTTGTTGGACTTATGAACGAATTCGACTTACGAACGTTCTCCCAGAATGGAACTCGTTCATAAGTCAGGGACTTACTGTACTGGCTATACATTAGAATCACTTATGGGGGGTTCCAGTCAAGATGATGAAATAGGTAAGCACTGTATTTGCCTCCTTTCATGACCATGTTAAAATTACAACTAAATTATAGAACAACCAACCTGGAGAACCATCAGAAGACTAGCTGAACAAAAGTCCTATAATGTGGATATAAAGAAAAAGCCACCTCAAGACTGGTAGGAGGGGCGGAGACATGAACTGGGCTGGCCCCACAACCATGTGTAGCAATCAAGAATCAGGAGGGATATCTCAGCTGCAGAGGTCCCCTCTGAAGAGTGAGAGGTCCCAGCCTCACCCTGGGATCCCCAGACCAGAGCACCAATGCCAGGAAGAGGGGCCCCCACATCTGGCTGTGAAAATCAGTGGGTATTCTGACCATCCACGTGAGATAGAAGGTGGCTGGAAACGCAGGTGTCCTCTTAAAGACTGCACAAAGACTCCTTCATTCCCAGGCACTCACCCTGGGCTCCGGTGGAGGGACAGAGGTTCAGGAGATGCCAGACATACAGGGAAAGACTGAGTTGTGTGGCTTCAGAAAAGGACTGGAGGGAAAGCCATCATTTTTCCTGCATTGAGCCCTCCCCATACACAGCCAAATCTGAATTTTCTTTGGCCTGGTGAGCTCTGCTCACTCCATCCTGGTGAAACCCCTGGGACCCCACTTCACCCAACTTGTGCACTGAGAGAGGCTATTTGAGTGGCCTGTAGGCAGGGGGTGTTGACCCGTGCTGCAGTCTTTTTTGGACAATTATCAGATTCCTGCAGGCCCCAGGCAGGTCGTGGCTGGACTCAGCGTGTGCTGAAACTTCTGTGGAGTGGCCCCAGGCCTGGTACTGGTGATGGCAAGCCTTGGTTCACAGTGTGGCCTCTTTCATGCACCTCCAGGTCCAGCACAGGAAGCGACCAACCATGGATCATCTATAGCTCCAACCAGGTATCAATGGGCCAGTCACAGGTAGTGGCTGATGTTGGCCTGCACAGGAGGCCACCACACCCAGTGGCCAGCTTCAAACCATAACAGAACACTACCTGATTAGCCCCACAAACAGCACATCCAAAGGTTGGTCTCAGCAGGCACTAGAGCTTGCTGGGGCAAATCCCACTCCATGGGGTCAGCCCCTTCATAGCAGCTCATATGCTCTGGTTGTAGCCAATCCTCATAGCCAGTAAGCCTGAAGATCAATCCCACCCACTGATGTGCCAACAACAATCAAGGCTCAACTATAACAGGAGAGAACACACAACCCACAAAAGGGACACTCTTGGAGCATCTAGCTCAGGGGACCAGGGAGACTGTACCACTGAGCCCCACAAGACACTGACTACATAATACCACCATGCCAAGACTGGGAGATGTAACAGATCTACCTAATACATAGAAACAAACACAGAGTGGCAGCCAAAATGAGAAAACAAAAAAAGTCCCCCCTCCCAAGAAAAACCGAATAAACCTCTAGAAAAAGAACTAAACAAATTGGAGGCACGTAATCTACCAGATATAGAATTCAAAACACCTGTCATAAGGATGCTTAAGGAACTTAATTAGAACATCAACAAACAGATAGCAAGCTTAAAAAAAACATAAAAAAGAACCAGTGAGAAATGAAGAATACAATAATAAAAATAAAGAATACACTAGAGTTAAAAAAGCTCTTACGAGGTATCAGCACTTTTCTTTCATTAGAGGGAAGAAGTCAGGAAAGTACCGAACAGCAGCAGACTTTTAAACTTTAAATACAGACAGGCCTTCAAAAATCTGGAAATGGAACTACCTTATGACCCAGCAATCCCACTCTTAGGTATTTATAAAAAAAAAACCCAAGACATTAATCCAAAAAAATATATGTACCCCTATGTTTATTGTGGCACTATTCACAATAGCCAAGACTTGGAAACAATCAAAATGCCCATCAGTAGACGACTGGATTAAGAAGCTATGGTACATTTACACAATGGAGTATTATTCAGCTATAAAGAAGAAGGAAATAGTACCCTTTGCAACAATATGGATGGAACTAGAGAACATTATGCTAAGTGAAATAAGTCAGTCAGAGAAAGACAAATACCATATGATCTCACTTATGCATGGATTCTAAGGAACTGAATGGATGGGAGAAGTGGATGGAGATAGTCTCAGAGACACAGAGGAAGAACTGAGGGTTGTTAGTTGGGAAGGGGTGGGGATGAAGGAGAAGGGGAAGGGATGAGACAATACAAATTGGTAACTACAATATGGCCTCAGGGATATAAAAAGACAGTCTGAGGAATATAATCAATAATGTTGTATATATTTCTTAGGGGGCCAGATGGACTCATGTCCTTGTTGGGGAGACCACTTCATAGTCGGTGTGGAGGCCTGACCACCACACTGTATTTCTGAAGCTGATGTTGAATAATATTGTATGTCAACTATAATTATATATACATATAGTCATGGGACATGGAGTAGAGAGTGGGAATGGAGTCAATGGAATTGTAATAGATAAGCATGATATCGGGGGGGAGGGCAATAGAGGGGGAGAGGAGGGTTGTTACTTTGTGAGGGTGAAAAGGATAACTATTGCATTGTTAGGGCCGGCCGAGTGGCTCAGTTGGTTAAGAGCTCGCTCAAGAGTTTGAGCTCTGAGCAACAGCGGTTCGAGTCCAGCCCAAGCTGAGCAGCCGCTGAGCTGCCAACAGGTAGCAGGATGGCTCAGCTAAAAAAAAAAAAAAAAAAACTATTGCATTGTTCTGTACACCTGAAACTAACAATAAAAAATTTAAAAATAAATAAATAAATACAGACAGACAGACAGGCCTGAGTGCCTGAACTTGCCTTTTGATTTTACTTCATCCTCTAAGGAGTTCAATAACTTGGCATGCCTACTTCACTTATTTTAAGAGAAAGAGAGGTGCCCAGGCAACATGGGTGACTGGAGTGCCTTAGGCAAACTCCTTGACAAGGTTCAAGCCTATTGCACCACTGGAGGGAAGGTGTGGCTCTCCATCCTTTTCATTTTCCAAATCCTACTGCTGGGGACAGCAGTTGAGTCAGCCTGTGGGGTATGAGCAGTTGGCCTTTCACTGTAACACTCAGCAACCTGGTTGTGAGAACATCTGCTATGACAAGTCATTCCCCATCTCTCACGTGCACTTCTGGGTTCTGCAGATCATCTTCGTGTCTGTCCCCACACTCCTGTACCTAGATCATGTGTTCTACGTGATGCAGAAGGAAGAGAAACTGGGGGAGGAGGAACTTAAAGTTGCCCAAACTGATGGTATGAATGTGGAGATACACTTGAAGCAGATCAAAATCAAGAAGTTCAAGTACGGTATCGAGGAGCACGGCAAGGTGAAGATGCGAGGGGGCTTGCTGAGAACCTACATCATCAGCATCCTCTCCAAGTCCTTCTTCGAGGTGGCCTTCCTGCTGATCCAGTGGTACATCTACGGATTCAGCTTGAGAGCCATTTACACTTGCAAAAGAGATCCCTGTCCCCATCAGGTGCACTGCTTCCTCTCTCGTCCCACGGAAAAAACCCGTCTTCCTCATCTTCATGCTGATCGTGTCTTTGGTGTCACTTGCCTTGAACATTATCAGACTCTTCTACGTCTTCCTCAAGGGTGTTAAGGATCGTGTGAAGGGGAAGAGCGACTCTTACCACGCTACCACCGACCCGCTGAGCCCCTCCAAAGACTGTGGATCTCCCAAATATGCTTATTTCAATGGCTGCTCCTCACCAACTGCTCCTCTCTCACCCATGTCTCCTCCGGGCTACAAGCTGGTTACTGGAGACAGAAACAACTCTTTGTGCCACAATTACAACAAGCAAGCAAGTGAGCAAAACTGGGCTAATTATAGTGCAGAACAAAATCGAATGGGGCAGGCAGCAAGCACCATCTCTAACTCCCATGCACAGCCTTTTGACTTCCCTGATGACAACCAGAATTCTAAAAAACTGGCTGCTGGGCATGAACTACAACCACTAGCCATTGTGGACCAGTGGCCTTCCAGCAGAGCCAGCAGCTGCGCCAGGAGCCAACCTCTGCGTGATGACCTGGAGATCTAGATCCAGGCTTGAGAGCATTCCACTCAACTGTGGAGAAGAAAAAGGTGCTGTAGAAAGTGCACCTTAGGTGCTCATTTTGTTCCTGTGGAGGTGGTACACAACAGCCTTCATCACAAGGCTTAGAAAACACAAAGACACTAGAATACCTGGGTTCAATGAGGGGTTAGGGGTAGGTGGACAGAGAGGGAGGGGATAAGGGAAGTACATGTTGGTATTTAATGTAGTTTATTCAAAGAACTTAAGTGCTAAATAAAAGTTGCATTAGGTGATACATAAATAAGGGCTTTTTCTCTCCCCCTCCTCCCCCCCATCTCCCCCACACACACACTCACACACCCCTAAGAATAGTTCTGTGTATGTGAAACAGTGGTTGATATTTTTGGCTAAATACTTTTTTGTATTAATAACTTTCACCAGGAAAAAATACTTTCTGAACATCTTACTTCTTTTTAACAAGAAAAAGATGGAGGATTGTTCTTACGTCCATGCTAAAACATTCCATTGTTAAAATTTGCACTTTGAAGGTAAGCTTTCTAGGTCTGACCTTCCAGGTGTAAATGGACTCGGGCTACTTAATATTCTTTATTCCTGGTATCAGTTAAAAGTTCAGACAAAGCCCACAGAGAAGGACATTCCATGCACTTGCGAATCTCAGCCAAGTTATACATACATTCTTTTTTTACATCCACTCGTGTCAATTACCATCCCTATTTCATCATTCCTCAACTACTATTCACATAAATTTAATGATTTCTTAAAATGTTCTTAAAATAGTTGAGATGTCACTTAACATGTTTTGAGTTGAGTCAGGGAAGCAAGCCATGTTCAATATTTAACAATCACTTGTATGTGTATGTGTGTGGGAGAGTGTGTTTTATTTGTCATGTATTGGTACAAGCAGATACAGTATAAACTCACAAAAACAGATTTGAAAATAATGCACCCATGGTGTTCAGATTTGAACCTTTCTCATGGATTTTGTGATGTGGGCCAATAATGGTGTTTACATAATATAGTTCTAGCTGTGCAAGTAAAGCACACTTTTCTTAAAATGTTTTTTCCCCATGTGTCTTATTACGGATACTGGTTTTGTTAATTATGTTTTTTCCCCTTTTTCTCTCTTTTTTAGAATATAGTAGTAATGCTATTGCTGAAATGAATTATTTTCTTTGAAATGTAATCATTGATGCTTGAATGATAGAATTTTAGTACTGTAAATGGGCTTTAGTAATTAATGTGAAAGATTTAGAAGAAATGCTTAGAGTGGACTATTAAGCATGGCTAAATGAATTTTGCAGTAACTGGTGTCCTTGGTTTTGTCCTACTTAATGCACATTAACTCAGAAATTGTATTCTACTATGCATTTGACAGTCTTTTGGAGTGACCAGCAACTTGAAAGTTTGCACTAAGATTTTATTAGGAATGCAAAAGAGATTGAAAGAGGTTCAGTAGTACAGGTAACTAATTTATTAGAAATATATCCTAAAGAAATCATGCAGTTTCTTCAAATGCCTTTTTAAAACTCATCACAGATGATTAGTGAAAATGCAAAGTATCCTACTTTTCTTCTTCTGTGTCATCTACATGAACTGTTTTGTACAATGAGAAATACTAATTTGTTTGACATTCCATGTTAAACTACGGTCATGTTCCACTTTATTGCATACGATGTAGACCTATTCCATTAGATCATGTGTTTCTGGAGTGTGTTCTTTATTCAATAAAGTTTTAATTTAGTGTAAAGATAAAAAAAGAATACACTAGAAAAAAATCAAAAGCAGAATAGATAAAGTAGAAGATTGAATTGGTGACTTAGAAGAAAAGGTAGCAGAATACATCCAATCGGAACAGCAAAAAGGAAAAATAATTTTTAAAAATGAAGATAGTTTAAAGAACCTCTGGAGCAACATCAAGTGTAACAACATGTGCAGTGTAGGGGTACCAGAAGAAGAGAGAGAACAAGAAATTGAAAACCTATTTGAAGAAATAACTACTGAAAACTTCCCTAACCTCTTGAAGAAAATAGACATACAAGTCCAGGAATCACAGAGAGCCCCAAACAAGGTGAACCCAAAGAGACCCACACCAAGATACATCATAATTAAAATGTTAAAGGTTAAAGACAAACAGAAAGTCTTAAAAGCAGCAAGAGAAAAGCAGTTGGTTACCTACAAGAGAGCTTTCATAAGACTGTCAGCTAACTTTTCAACAGAAACTTTGCAGGCCAGAAGGGATTGACAGAAAATATTCAAAGCAATGAGAAGTAAGGACCTACAACCAAGATTACTCTATCCAGAAAGGCTACCATTTAGAACTGCAGGACAGGTAAAGAGCTTCCCAGACAAAAAAAAGCTAAAGGAGTTCATCAGCACCAAGCCAGTTTTTAAAAAATGCCAAAGGGACTTCTTTAAGAAGAAGAAAAACAAAACAAAAAAAGATAAAAAATATGAATAACAAAATGGCACTAACTACCTATCTATCAACAATCACTTTAAATGTAATAGGATTAAATGCTCTAATCAAAAGATGGGGTGGCTGAGCCAGCCTAGTGGTGCGTTGGTTAAGAGTTGGTTAAGAGTTGCTCTGAGCAGCAGGACCCTGGTTTGGATCCCACATGAGGGCCAGTGACACTGCGCCCTCTACAGCTGCAATGGTGAACAGCTCGACCTGAAGCTGGGCTGCCGTGAGTCGCTGGCAATGGCATAGGCTGCAGCCCCTGCTGCAGTGGGCTGCCATAAGCTACCATGCGTGGCCAGCAGCCAGCGTGTGGCTGGTAGCCATTGTGAGCTGCCAAGAGCCACCGTGAGCAGCCTTCCTGGGGCCAACGACGGATCTGCCTCACCCAGGAAGAGCGCAATGATAATACCAACATGGGCCAATGAAGTGACATCCTCCACAACTGGACTGAAGAACAAAAGGACAGCAACTTGTCTGTTCCCCTTCCCCAATTCCCCAACGCTGTTCCCCTCCCCCAATTCCCCAATAAAATCTTAAAGAAGAAAAGATAAAAAGATAGGGTGGCTGAATAAATAAGAAAAACAAGACTTTTACATATGCTGCCTACAAGAGACTCATTTCAGATCAAAAGACACACACAGACTGAAAGTAAAGGGATAGAAAAAGATATTTCATGAAAATGAAAGTGAAAAACAAACAAACAGGGCCGGCCAAGTGGCACGATGGTTAAGAACTGGCTTGGGATGCTAGAGGGCCCCGGTTCCAATCCCACATATGAGGGCCAGTGACACTGCCCTCCACAGCTAAGATGCTGAACAACAGCTCAACCTGGAGCTGGGCTGCTGTGAGTCGCTAGGCTGCAG